TTATATCATTCATTAAAACTTACCGACCTACCTTTTAAATGTAAATTCAGATGAAGTTATGTTTAAGTTATAATCTCCATATTTATTTCGTATGTATAAAATTAAATTTTTCTTGTTCTTTGATTTTATATTCCACGTAAATAAGCACTGAAGATTATTGATTTGGTTCAGCGTTTTTTTTTTATCGGGATCCACAACTGTAGCAACTTCTAGTTGATTTTCTCCAATAGAGCTTGCTTCACTTTTAGTGTCATCAAAATTATCAACTAAAGCACTATCATTTAAATATTCTGGCTGATCATCAGTGATAGACAGTAACTCAATAGCATCAGTAACATTATCTTTTGTCACGGAACAATTATCATCGTTATCTAAATTATCTTTGATCTCTTCCAACTCGGTTAGTATGTCTTCGACAYTTTTTCTAGTGATTTTATCTGTTTCAGCTTCCAACCCCATTGTTTCCTTCTTGGCATCAATAACAGATTTATTAAGAAGTGATTTAAACATTGAAGCAAACATATTTATTRCTGAATGAGAAAACCTTTTGAAAAATAATGAAACGAGTTAACTAAATAGGTAGTAATAATTAATAAATATCCTATCAACAATATTCAATTATTAGTTTTAATACTTACAACTAGACAGTGACTAATAGCAATTAGCAGTACAATTKAATTTTCTTCCAAATTCCACAAAGTAGCAATACTTAGTATAAGTTATAGCAAATAACTATCATATATAGATTGGGGATTTATGTTTAATTACCAACAAAATGTTTTTAAATTCCAATTAAATTGAAAACAACTCATGAAAGCTAGTAAATAAACACATAAATATTAGTAATATAACATTATCCGCATATTATAATAAATCTAAACCTAATACGGTTACACCTATAGCAAAAATAGTTCCGAATCCGAATCTGAGTCCAATACTCCAACGAATCGGGTGATAAAAGATTACAGTACTGTCTTAGTGGTAGAAGTGGTACCTCCACAAGCATAAACCATGGTTGCATAAATGGTTATTATAAAAAAAATAGATAACTATGCTATTCGGTGGTATCGCGGTGATACCAATACTAAAATTACATGACAAAACACTGAATCATTATTTATACTATTATTTATTAATTATTAATATTCAATATTKATATTATATAACCTACTAAATTCTAAAATACTTCAATATAAATTATGAAATATCGTAAAATTGTTGGACACCGATATTGAGCATTAACTATTAAGGAATAGTATCATGACGTGTTAGATTTTAAAGAGTACTTAACAACAACGATAAGTATTCCAGCTTGTACAATGTTGGTACACCGTCACGTCATGCGATTTGTTTTCGACAATTCATAATGACGGCCGACGGGTACCTCTACTAATTCTCATGAAATTGTAAATAAAATCAAAAATACCTAGACTGTTTACATACCTATTGTACACCATCAACTATGACTAAATATTTAATCATGCCATAATACAGAAAATATTTAAAATTATTAATGTTTTTTTTTCTTCGGGTCCCGTCCACCAGTCGTCCTTCGAAATAATCCGCTATTAGGTGGACAAAAATACAAAATGAATTAATTTCACATAAAATATCTTTAAATTATAACGGAGCACGTAGCATAGTTAGTGTATGCTAAATGAACACATTTCAACATAMTACTTCTATGAATAAAGTTTAGAATTAAATAATGCATTTAAAAATTTAAAAATATATAAGGAAGATATTAGAAATGTAAAGAAAAAGTGAYTAAATATTCAATTATAGATAATAATATGTATTACATTTATCATTGACATTAAATTATAGTGAATAGAGATAGGTTCTAATGTTCGCGATATTTATACTTAATATACTGCAATATCGGGTACGCCTATAGCGGCTATAGGGCATAGTATAATTGCCTACTCGATAAATATATTACTTCTACAAGAACTTCTTCAGGAATAGGAAATAAAGAACGCTTTTAATAGACTCAAATGTTATAAGGTGCGATATTCTATAATCTTCATTAATAATAAC